ACGTACATAAATGACCGGGATATTGACTCATGATAGGCACACAATCAATGTCTGTTCCCCTCCTTTTTGGGTAGCCCTCTAGCCATGTTACCAGACCCAAGGGAGGAGAGAACATTCCAGGAAACCTTCTTATATTCCAGCAGTGTATGTTGATTCAATATGGTAAATAGCCAGTCGTCTGGGAAAATATTTATGCAGAATAAGTAGAACAAATATTGATTTTTTAAATTCTGGTATCCATATAATTCAAGGACAAGGGAGACTCAGTACATGAATTTTAGAAACAGTAAATGTGCTGCTCATATTTTCAAGTCTGTATTAGTAATGAATTAACACTCTGACAAATAAATGAACGTATGGATCATGTGAAAGGAAATGACATAATGTCTATTCCAGGACAGCATTAAGATGTTTGTGAGTGAATGTGTGTGTTAATTATCTTAAGGTGGTTGACATAGCTGGCTCCATAATGGTGTTATGAAGTCAATATTGAAGACTACTTGCTCTAATACTGCACACCAAACTACTGCCCACCCAGCAACAGATCAGTGGTGAGCCCATCACCACTATAGGAAACAACAAAAGCTCAACTCACGGAAGATGAACTCTACCTTAGAGAGTGAAGTTAGAGAGTGCACTCTACCTTCTGGAGAGTGAGTATAGGATGTACATCCTCGTTATATATTAAGACCAGGATTAGCTTCTGAGACCTCTTCATGCTACAGGTGTATTTGTGGATGTGTCTACCTGTCTGTGCAGGCAAGGTCAATTCATGTTTTAGGACCTTGATACCAGGAAAGATTTACCCACTTAGGGTCAAGTGAATGAAAATTAGAGGGGCTGGGTCTGGCCCCATGGCCGAGTGTTTGGGTTCGCGCACTCCGCTTCAGCAACCCAGGGTTTCACGGGTATGGATCCTGGGCGCGGACACGCAACCATTCATCAAGCCATGCTGAGGTGGCATCCCACATGCCACAACTAGAAGGCCCTCCAACTAAAATATACAACTATGTACCAGGGAGCTTTGGGGAGAAAAAGGAAAAAATAAAATCTTTAAAAAAAAGAGAGAGAAAGAAAAAAGATTTTTAGAGTGGAAAAAGCAAGGAACTGTAACTTGAAGTGAGAACAGTTTGGGGGTTTGTTTTATTTGTAGTGATTCTGAGTTCTTGGAGTCAAACATTTTTTTCTCATCTCCTAGTGCCATTTTGGGATTTTTTTCCCATTTGCTTTCTTTTTTGCAGCTTGCTTTGAAACCACTCTGGACAAACCAATAGTAAAATCAAATGGAGGGTTTAACTATGACCCATATAAAACTAGTCTGACATTTGGGGGCCAGGTACCTGGGAACTGTTCAGCAGCACTTCATGTACCAACCTCCTTTCCTTCACTAATGAGTGACTAATGTACACACTTTAGAGGATGTGGTTGAATGGTTATAGGACCTAATCTAAACCTGTTTTTAAACAGCAAGCAGTGTGTACTGGGCTGAAAAATCCATCTTGCAGCTGCCTACAGCCATTTTTTAAAAATCACTCTTTTAGGCAGCATCCCTGGAAAGTCATCCATTTACCCAACAGAGGGAGCAAGGACTCCCGCAAGGAAGCACTTCGGAGCTCACTGAGCACATATGGGAAGCACTGTTTATAGTTTGAAAACCTTCAATCTGTTGCACCCTTCAAATCTCGGCTGAAGATGTGGCCTAACAGATCGCAGTCCCAGAGTTTTGCTGGCAGTACTGATGAAACGAAATCAAGAAGCCAGTAAAATAAAAGTATGCTAGTCTGAGGAGTTCAAGAAACTCTGGTCAAAAACGTAATGTTTGTTAAATGGAAGGGAAATAAGAGTCTATCCTCTAGTGCCTACTCAAAACTTAATGATTGTCCTGGCAGGCTTTAAAGAAAGGGCAGATCATTGTTCCAAGTTCAATTTCATATGGCCCCTTGAGAAAGAAAACTGAAGGCAGAAAAGAAAAATTCTGATCGGGAGCAAGAATTTTGTTGCTGGCTCTCCCATCCAACCCCTGTGAGCCGGTGGAACAAGAGCAAATTTGAACTTGTTTTTCTCGGTGCCTGTGGGAGGCATTAGGAACCCCGGTGAAGTGTTGAAGGCAAGGTGCTGGACTTGAAAGTCTAAGCTAGGCAATAGACCGGTGCTCAGAGATGAGGCTGGCAGAAGTTAGGGCCGACAATGTTGTTGGGCAGCCTAAATTGGAACTCAGCTTAGAAGACAGTAGGGGACTGGCCTGTGGACCAGCGCTAGCTTGGGAGGCAAGGGGTTGTAGTCAGACAATAACAGCTAATTCTTATTAGGCACCAGGTGTACACCAGGTGTTGTACCAAGCACATTACACGGATTATCTTTTTCTTTCATAGAGGTTAGTTACTATTATTACTCCTGGTTTAAAGATGAAGAAACGGAGGCTCAAATAGGTTAAGAGCCTTGCCCAAGGCTGTCCTGCTGTGATTGGGGGAGCCAGGACTTAAATCCAAAAGATACGACTCCAGAATTTGGCCTCTTATCATATGGTGCTAGATCAGGCCTCTAGGACACAGCAGCTGAGTTCCTAGATTGGGCTGTGACAGTGACATCCTCCCCTCCTCTTCTTCTTCCTTCTGCCACACTTCTGCAGGCCTGGTCGTGAAACAGGCTCAAACACTGATGATGGGAGAGCAAAAGCAAAGAGAGCAGGTAGAAAAAGGAATCAGGGCAGGACTCCCGCTCCGTATTGGCTCTTCAGAAAGCTGTTTGCTGTAACTTGGAGAGAAATCTAAACTTTTTCTCTACAGTTGTCCAATTGTCTCATCAAGAAGTCAAAATAATGAAACTGGGACAGGAGAATAGCCAAATAGTGAATCAAAATCCACATTACAAAATAGTACATCTAAGAGTTTAATTTAAATTGGTGTTTTGGACCATAGTAAGGAAAAAGTTATAACTAATGTAGTTTAATATGTTGCAAACTGTACTGTCTTCAAATGTTTGAAGGGCTAACGAGTGCAGCAGGGAGCTGACTCATTCTACGTGGCTTCCAGAAAGGCATTAATTCCTTGATTCTAACAGGAAAAGGCTGTCTATCAGTGAAGGGCCACCCCACAAATCGGGGACTCTTTGTCACGGGGCAACTAAGCAGAAGCTCAGTCATTGGTCAAAACTTGGTTGCATATCACAGTCCTCAGGAAAGATTTTTAAAATGCTGATCCTTGGCCCTATTCCCAAAAATTCTAATTTAATTGATTTGGGGCAGAGCCCGGCTTGGGGGTCTTTAAAAACTCCCCGGGTGATTCTAATGTGCAGCAAAGTTTGGGAGCCACTGAGGGTGTCAGGGATGCTGGAGAACAGATTCTTGCTCCAAGTGGTTGGTTGGTCCAGATTATCTCCAACACCCCTTTCAGTCTAAGATCTTCATTTACTACCTAAGGCCCTTCACTCTGTGTGTGTGGTTTATGAAGGCTGCTGATAATTTTATCATCAATTATTAGTGAAAGAGACATGGACAAAGAAAACAGTTCAGTGGTTACCAGAGGAAGCGGGTAGGGGGTGGAAACAGGGGGTGAAGGGGAGCACGTATGTCATGACAGACAAGGAATAATGTACAACTGGAATTTCGCAATGATGTAAACTACTGTGAACTCAATAAAAAAATTATTAGTGAAAGAGGGCTGCAGGTTTTAACGTGAGGAAAGTAACAAGCTGTAAACAACGAAAGACCACATCCTCTATATTGGATTCCTGTCTCTTCAAAATTACATTCAAGGAAAAGAAGCAAAGAAAATGCATGATAAATTTAGAATGCTATTAATCTGAAACTGCCTTTCTTCCCTGGCCCTGTGTCCTGGCACACTGTGTGAAGAGTGTTTCTAGAGACTAATAATAACAGTGCACATGGATATACTCGCATCCTGAACATCCAATCTAATTATTTCAAGGGAAAAATGATTTGGGATTTAGAAGAATTTTCCAGAGGGAAAAAAAGAAAGTGGGGTCTGATCACCAGTTGAAAAGCAGAGGAAGAGCTGCCCCGTTGCAGGCTGTACTTGCTATCCCTGCCATCTTGCATCATTGTTCTCACTCCTAGATCTGAGAATTGTATTTGGCAGAAACGGTCAGAATCTCTCCAAGCCGCAGTCTGGACTCACACAGGGCCTCACCCCTTCCACAAAGGGACTTACAGTCACGACTGCCCGTGGACTATGTACAGCCAGAAGGGCAGCACTGGCAGCAGCAGCACCGCGTCCGGGATACGCGAAAAGGTTCAAGGAGTCCTGCCTGGTGGGAAACGGTCCTCCGTGTGATGTGAGCCTGCCACGAGCCTGCAGCGTGACTTTGGACAAACTCCGTCCCCCTCAGCGCTTCAGTAACCCTAGAAGTTAAACAAACACAGAAATGCTGACTCACTTCAGAGGGGGCATTGGACAGCTGAGAAAGACTCCTAAAGAGGCCCTGTGTCAGGAACACAAAAGGAAGCTAACCTGGGTTTTCATGATCCCAGACTAGAATCCCCAGAACTTTTAACTTGATACAGCTCTGTGGTTCCTGCTGCAGGAAGGACTGGGACAGATAGCAGAGTTTAAGTGGAGTTAGTGAGCATCTGTCCACAGGAAAATCCTAAAGTTTAATGTTTGGGATACTATGCTCTCTAAAAAGAACAAAAAAATATATGGTAACTGCACTGTTCCTCTGTGGGTTAAGAGTTTAATATTGATGAAAAATCTATTTCAAACTGTTCATGTTGAACGTGTCAAGCAGCTTTGGCAGGAGCAGAATGGGTTGGCAGACAGACAACTTCCTCATGTGTGTGGGTAGAACCATTTAGAAACCTGTGAGCCCAGAGAGGAGAAGGATGCTGGGAAAAGAGAAACAGGAGCTGGGCTTTGACATGTCTGCTCCTATATGAAAGTAAATCTCTATGGCCCCTAAAATGTTGACATCAGCTCCTCAGGTGGGTAAATGATGACTGGCAAGAACAGAAGGTAATTGTTGATGAACCCCTCCCCCCAGCCTCGTATGGCTGCAAATGATGGGGAAATCAGAGGGAGGCTGGGAAAGAGAAGACAGCAAGCCATATCCCACTTATCAAAGAAGAGGGATCATTCCCAATCCTATTACAAGAAAAGAAAAGGAAACAAGTATTACAGTAGGAGATTATGGCACACAAAACCAGTTGGCCAAAGAGCATTCTCAAAGAGATACTGAACTTTATTGAGTGTATTTTCCTAAACAACAATTTGGAACCTGATCCACAATTTTCGCTTTCTCTAACTTTCCTGATATCCTGAGCAAGGAAACATCTTTGGGGAGTACCCATCTCTCACTCTCGCCTGAAAGTTTCTTAATCTACTCAGCTCCATCCACCTTCACCTATGCCCCAGTTGAGCATGTGACTCTTGCAGCCACACCAGGATCTGTTTATGACTCTGAGCTATTCCACCACTGAGACCTTGAACTCTGATCAGCCACTCCCTGGCCATATCCCTTATGCGGCTAACTCCCTCTCTCTTTGCTTTCACTGTACTTGCCTGTTGACACCTTCTAAGACCTCAGTGTATGTATGCTGAATCCACCCATTGTTGCAGGCTCATCAGTTATCTGGGGCTCTACTTCCTTTCAGGGTCCACAGATAACCTTGCTCCTACTCCACGGAGAACAAGAAGTCATAAGATGTTAATTCCTTGTCATCACAGTCTCACCATCGAATTTATCTACATCTGCATTCATCCTCTCCAACTTCCCCCTGGTCTGGAAGGAAGAAGGGACCTTCCTGCATGTTTGAAACCATTGCTTCTTCCCCCTCAGTGGTCTCAAGCTTGTCCCTCCCTTTCCCCTGGTTTCATGCCCTCAACTTCACACCTACTCAAAAGTCTGCACTCTTTTAAAACAACAACAAAACCACCACCACCTTTCCTTCAATTCTGCAGCCCCCTCTAGTTAGCCTGTCTCTCTTCTTTTCCTTTCTAGTCCATCTGCTTTAAAATTATTAGTATGTTCATTGCTTCCAGGTCCTTACCTCCCATTCAAGCTTTGGTCCATGGAAGTGTGGCTTCTGTCCACTCTACTGGAATTGCTCTTGCCAAGATCACCAGTGACAAACCTCTAGATCTGAGGTATATTGTTTAGTTTTTATCTCATTGAACTTATTTCACTTTTCCGAAGCCCTTATCTCCCTTGACTTTGGTAACTCACCCTCTTCAGTTCTCCTTCTGCCCCCACACTGCTCTTGCCCCCTAAATGCCGCGCCTTGCTGGCTTTCTTTCCTCTTTACTGTTCCCCAGCTCCTGCCCTTGCTTCTGCAACACCTGCTTTTCATCTCTCCTCCATAAAGCCACACAGTGGGCTCGCTTTTCCCAAAGCTGATCATGTCATCACCCTACCTGACATTCTCTAGTGCCTCCCCAGCACCCACACAGTGAAGCCCCTTCCTCTTGCTGTACACAGGGCTCCATGTAATCTGTCCGCCTTCCCAGCTTCATCTCTTTTTCTGCTGAAAGGCATCCTGTGCAGTAGCCATTCTGAAAAACTTGCAAGATCCCTATTAAACAAGAACAAAATACGATAAATATTAATTACTATTCAACAAGAGGGCATTCTAATTACAAAGCATTTGACTAATGTCCCTTATCTTAATATTATTTAATATTTAAGTGATTTTTTTCCTCCAAAAAGGCTTTTTCATAGCTTTGTGTTTTTGCACAGCTGTTTCCTCTGCCTAGAGTGGTCCTTCCCAGTTAGTGAATTCCTCAACCTTCAAAATCCAGCCTAAACTAACGTCACGTCCTCTACAAAGCCACATTCGCTGCCTTCTTTCCAAGTGTCCCCTCCTGGCTCAGCAGAATCTCTGGCTCCCTCTCTCTTATCCACAGCATCTTGTAAACTTCCAGTGTAGCACTTGTCCACCTGTATTGCAATGTTTTATTCAAGTGTCTGTTTCCCTCCCTGGTCTGAGAGCTCCCTGAAGGTGGGGACCAGGTCTTAATCATCTTTAAATCCCCAGAACCAGCCCATGCTGCCACACAGCAGACTCAATAAATGATGAATTTTATTCATTTAAACCATATGAAATTGCCATTTTTAAAGGTTATAAATGGTCAAATACCAGCAATTTCTTATGGTTCAATCTCTTACCAAAAATATTTTCATTGTCTTTCTCCACACAGCTGAAAGCACCTTATGTGCATTGTGTAATTAATCCTGGGGAGATCCCTGTAGGATAGTGTGAGAAATTACGATCGTCATTCTATCGATGGTTCAGTAGGTTGTGGGCAGAAGTGGAGCTGGAACCAGATCTTCCTACACTCATTCCCTCATCCTTGGGTCCACCATACAATATTCATGGAATTCTGGAGAAAGGAAGAAATTCAAAGGGTCACCTGCCTGGCAGCTCCAGGCAGCAAGACACATAAATCATCCTCAGACGGTTTTCTATCTTTCCTCTCATGTATCCAAAGTTGAAGAGGATCTGCTCTCTCACAATAACAATTTAATATTTTCCTCTCACCTCCTCACCAGGCAGTCCATGTCCAACCCATCTCTCTCTTGCTGTAGTGTGTCAATTTCTGACTTTATGGAGATAAAGCGGCTGTGATGTCCCCAGCTTTGTAATAACCCTCCTACTACTTACAACCACTTGTTCTCCCCTGAGTTTTGTTTTATTCCTGAAAAATATCCCTTCTCTTTTAAACTCTATTTGTAGGTCCTTCACATCATTTTAATCAAAAGATTCCAGGGTTTTCTATAACAATGTTTCCCAGTTTCACTAGACCACATTAAAAATGGAACACCATTAACATCCTGCTGACCTAACATACACTGGAATAAAATTTGGGAAACAGGGCTCTGTGATGTTTGCACATTCCTTTTAAACATTAAGATTAAAGCTAGATGTACTATCCTTGTAAGAGCATCATTTGTGTCACACAATATAAAGATGACTTCCCAGACCTGGCAATGTCACATTTCTGTTTACATATTCATTATTGCAATTGTCTCTTTAACCACAGACTCATAATGCCACCTCATACTTAGAGCATTTTTGTGCTTTTATAGTCTTGAATAATAATTGAGCTTTTATTGTCTGTCTTGCATAATAATTGAGTTTGGGTTTATTTATTGCATATGCTGTCTTGATTGGGTTCTGACTACCATTTCATTTTTTCTCTAATTTTTTCTCATCTCTTTAAATTCCATCTGAAGTCTTAGCAACCACCCTATTCTGTCATCCCCTACCCCTTCACCCCTCAGAACTGGTGTTATGTACAAATTGTATTAGGATGCTTCCAAATATGCCACCTTCAAAATTTATTTTATTTTATTTTTAAGTATTAAATAGCTTTGGTGGGAGGTGTCCTGATAAGTTTCAGCAGGCATTTATTGCACGCTCGCTATATGTTTACCCCTGTGCTAGATACTATGACAGCTCTCAAAGTTCATGGCCACTGTGAAGAGGTTGTTCATCCGCACAAGTAGTTAACTAAGAATAGAAGGTACTATATGATCAAAAAGATAAAGGAATAATAAAAAAGTAAGTGTCATGCAAGTCATAAGAAGACGGATGTCAAGGTTGGACTTGATCTATGATATGAAAGGCTGGGAGTATTTAGGTGTTTAAAAAGAATAAAGAGGTGACAAGATGGACCACAGAAGCAACAGCAGATGCAAATTCGGGCATTAATGGTCCATTGCTATGGGGGCTACCCAGCTGGTACATAAATAAGTTACAGCCCCTATTACTCTGCACTATCATTAGGTATATAGAATTCTGACATCCTCACAGGTTTACAACTACAAGGACGGCAGGGATGAATGAATAGAAATGAATTTGTCCTTGTATACGCAATGGTTTTAAGAGCGCCTGGCCTATCAATATGTACACATTTAAGATTTTTTTTAAAAATTGGTTTGAGTGAAAAAGCAGGCTAATATGGGGAACGGTGATTGAATTCATGTTATGGAGGCCTCTGAAAGGCAACAGGGCCATTTCAGCTTCACTGGGTGGGAGACACTGAAGTCCAGGACAGAAAAGACAAGATAATGTGGTTTTAGGGGAATTTATCTGGCAACAGCGTGCAGAATGAATTAAAGAAGGGAGAGGGGGAGTTGGAGGAAAAAAGGAGTTATTGTCTAACTCTACCTATCACTCTATCTCTCGCCCTCCCATCTCATTCAAGCTTCTAGAAAGATCTTTGGCATCTCATTACCTTCAAGCCCCATTCACTCCTCAGCTTATTCTAACCTACCTTATGTTCTCACTTCACAGTATTTAACTACTCAATCTCTCTGCAGTATTTAACGTCATTAACATTTTGTCTTTTAAAAACAGCTTTATTTTTTAAAAAATTTTATTAAACTTTATTTTTTAAAGCAATTTTAGGTTCACAGACAGAAGGTACAGACATTCTCTGTATACTCCCTGTCCCCACACACGCAGCTCTATTTTTTTAATTATATAATTATTATAAAAAATTTAAGCAATACTTAAAATGCAAAGAAGAAAGTAAAACTTACCCCAAATCTCCTCTTCCAGAGATAATCACCATTAACATTTTGGTGAATATTCTCCCAAACGTCTCTCCAGTCTATGCCTACACGCACGAGCAGATGGCTGTGTGTATAGAGATTTACATAAATTGGAACATATAATACTCGTTTTTCAGTAACTTGCATTGCTTTTCCTGAACAATAAGTATAAATGTCAGTAAGCATAAATCTGTGTAATTTTTGATAGGGGCATAGTCCTCCGATGACTATGTGTACCATTATTTATATAACACGTTTGCAAATGTTAAAGTTTGTTTCCAGTTTTTAGTATCATAAATAATGTTGCAGTTCACATTTTTATCTTTGAGCCATTTCGCCATTATTTTAATAGACACTCTCCTTCTTAAAATTCTCTATTGTATATTGGGGGTTCTTATGATCTATCTCTGTTGTCCATTGTCTCTAATTCCTCTTGGTTCTCCCACCTCTCTGATGGTTTCTTCTCAGCCATCTTCATGGGCTCTTTCCCTGACTTGCCTTTAAGTACTCATGTGTAACTGGCCTTTATCCTTGGCTCACTCTTGCCCCCATTCTTGTCCTCCATCCTTTTCCCAACCAATCTCATTTATTCTCATAGTTTTGCAACCTCATCCTGATGGACAACTACAAATTCAGGATGCCTATCCCTGACGTCTTTCCTGAAATTCAGATAGATATCTGCAAGCTGCTGCACCCAGACATCTCGAGTAACTCAGTGCATCCAGTGTCTCCACTCTACCCTCAAGCCACCCAATGCTTATATACTCTGCCTTATAGATGCTTCACACAATAGCTTGGGGGTCATTTCTTATTCCTTCTTCTTTCTCGTCACTCTCCATCCAATCAATTATCAAGTCTGTGAATTCGGCTTCCTAAAAATTTCATGAAACGCCTTAAGATATTTCTCAGGAAGCTGCTGGAGGGTATGCTGCACCAAAACAAGAGAGTAAACCAAATAAAGGAAGATACGGTGACCAGGATACAGGGGACTCAAGACGGGAGGGAGAAGAATAGGATTCCCAGGATGATGAGGATGAGAAATTCCAGGGCAAAGGCTGCTCAACAAGGCCAAGCAAGAACCCATCCAAGGGGCAGTGGGATGACAGAGGACTCAGAGAGGGATACCTCCAAGAAGCAAGTGACACTGCCACCACATACGATGTGTTTGAGCACACTGGGAGATGTGGTTATGGTTCAGCAAAGGTTTGGGGATGAATTAGTGATGGCTTCACAGAAAAAATATATGTGTTTTTGTGTGTATGTATACGTGTATGTGTGTGTGTGTGTGTGAAAGGAAATGTAATCATTCAAACCTACATGGCCCAACTCTGAATAGTAATTCCATAATCACAATATTGTCAACACTGAATATTGATTTAATTGAAAATATGGATATAACTATACTAGAAAGATGGAATAAAAGAAAGTATTTAGTGTATGTGTTGGGAGGGAGTCTCAGAGAACCTATTGCTCATCTTCCAGTTTAGAATATGAATATATAGCATCTAAAATTGAAAAATCAAGAAACAGCACTTAAAGAGTTGATGGGAGTTGCCTGAGAAAAGTGGGAATAGGAATGGGGAGAAATGGGACAGGAAACTCCTGTTTTTCCTCATAAGCCCAGTAGTGTCATTTGCTTTCTTAAATTAGATATATACATTATTTTGATTTCAAAGATAAATTTAAAAAAAGAAAGAAAAGTTGGGAAGGATCTAAATATTCACCAATAGATAGTTAAATAGAAAATGTTTCATTCGTATAAATAATATATGCTGTCTTTTAAAAAAAAAAATTAGATCTATGGGAAAATGCAAGTATCCAAAATACACTGAAAAATGAAAAAAGCTAGTTGCAAAAAGATATTACGGCATTATCTGATTTTCACCCCACCCCAACATTAATAATAAGTCATTTATAGAATGAAACTAATTGGAGGAATTGTAACCAAACCATTAATGATTTCAGGGGTGAAATTTCACTTTTCCATATTATGTGTTTCAGTAATGTTTGAATTTTGCCTAAGGAAAATGTTTTGTTTGGTTCTGGTTACAAAATTATATCACGCAGATATTTCTCATTTCCACTATGTCCTCTTCCTTCCTAATACTCCTGCCCTGAAAGCCCTTAAGTGGCTTATTGGCAGCCTCAGAATAAATCCAAGCTTATTAGGATGGCATTTAAGGCTTTCTAGGGAGGGCGGCTGCCGATGTGTCCAGCCCAGGCCTTGGCCACTTCCTGTCTCGCACTATGGGGACTGCTTGCTCCTCATTCTTATGCTCATCCTGCTCCTCCCTGGGAGACCCGTTTCTGTACCTCTGTCCCTCCATTGACCCACTCTCTCCCCCTGTCAGCCTCCAACACAGTTTAGGCATCACCTTCAGGAAGTCTCCCCTTAATCCTGAGCTGGGTTTGGGGTCCCACCTCTGTACTCCCCAAAGCAGCTTACGCATGACTTACCCTAGGACTTACCACATTGTACAGAAATGATTATTTTCCGTGCCAGCCTCCTGTCACTAAACTATTAACTCCAAAAAGACAGAGGCCATGGCTTACTCATTTCTACATCATCAGAGCCTAATATAGTGTCCAGAATTTAATAAACTTTCAATTCATGTTTAAGTTAATTGAATAATTCAGGCATAAGTTGAGAATTTGTTATATGTCCATTTGGGTTAAACCTCACTATTAATCTCTACTTCAAGGGCCAGAACACTTTGAAAAATGTATGTGCACTGGCATTCTGGGATGTGGGAGAATGGAAAGGGAGTGGGTACGGTTGTCTTCACACCAATCTTCATGTGAACATAGCAGGGATCCTGTGCTAACTGGTGGAGAGGGTGTGAGCAGACCACCTGTGACTGGAAGTGGCAATGCTCACTGTTCCTAGCCTGACACTTTCCTAGATCTGAGACCCTCTCCTCAAGGCACTTGTGCCACACAGACACATGACATGCTCCATAAGGCTGACCTTATCTAGCCATTGAGCCAATCTTTCAATCAGTTATGAATCCACTCAATGGCAATCTGATTTAACACTGATAGGCCTAAATTCTCATTATGGTTGTGGGGGCAGAACCAATGTTCTTCCTTAAGTCCAGGCAGGTTCAGTCTATGACCACAGTTCTTCGACCTTCACAAGTCTGTGGACTCCTATGGGATCCCATTAATGGAAACGATCCAAATTTTACACTTACTCTCACACTTACTTTGACAGACTGCAAAGTGTGTCCCCCTACACCAGGTAGCATTTGGAGTCATTGAGGTGGTCTAAAGCGCTCACACATGTCTTTCCTCTCCCTCTGTTCTGGCCTGCTTCACTAACACCACAGCCCCCACCATCTCCAGGCAAACAGGCACCAGAGACCGTGTCACAGGGACCTCTTTCAGTGTCACATGGTTAGAGGGGCCCCAAATCAGGGCTGCATGGGCTGCAATGTCTTGGAGAGGTTTTAGTGAGATCACTCATTTTGTTTTCCCTGTTCTTCCTCCTCCCCACATACAAATGGCCCTGGGGCCTTCTGACCTTGAGACAAATTCACTCCCAAAAGGATCTATATTCAAAGTATCCAGAATCTGACTTCTCACCACTCTTACTGCTACCACCCCAGTGAAAGTCACCATCTTTTCTCATGAGATCACTAACGTCCTAACTCCCTGCACTCACCCTTTCTCCCTCCAGTCTATTCTCAACACACCCACCCAGAGTTCCTGTTAAAATCTAAGTCAGATCACAGCACTCCTTTGTTCAGAACATCCAATGGCTCCTGTCTTACTCTGCATAAAAACCAAGTTCCTCTCATACGATCCCACAAATCTCATCTCAAACTATTCTCTCCCCTTCTCTCTCTTTTGCCGCCATATTAAGCCTCTCTCCTTTGGCACACATCCACTGTTAGAATCGTCTCCTAGAACTTAGTAATCCCGAAGATATAAATATCAAATATTTTACATTTGGGAGTGTTTTTTATATTATATTTTCTTGGTAAAAATAGAATCTGTTTAATCAGTAAAATAAATAGGTACTAGATTTATAAGTGCCTATAAGGCACTCAGGTAGAAAGAATGGGGATAGAAGCTAAACTTTTCAAAATATATCTTGCTTTGTAGATTTGATTTTTGGACCATGTAAATATTTCACCTATTATAAATTATAAAACAAATTTTAAAAAGCAATCCCCATAAATAAAAGTAAAATGAAATTTAATTGTGAATCTAATTAATCTAATGGCATAACCACACAGACAGGAAATTTACCAAGTGATTTTAAACACAGTAATTATGCACATCCCTAGTGATATATACCCTAATAACAAAAATAACTTCAGAAAAAAATCTTAAACTGTTTTCAGTAGTCTTATTACTGGTGGTAGTGTTGGTGTTCCTATTCTGAGACTGTTGTATGTATATTATGCAGTAAAAAAAGTGAGAAATTATACTGGTAGAATTGAGAACCAATTATTTTTGACATTAAGTAAGAGGGGATACAGATACAACAGTCATGAAATTAAATGAAAACACTATAGTCCTAAAATGGAATTGCAAGAGTCAATATAAACTCATGATATATTTTATCTTTAAAATAAAAAACATATTTCCTAGCTCTGTCCACTGAAAACAACTAATCCAGTGGCAATGAGCACCCCTGCTAAGTAGATTATGGTCTCTAAATACCATTTCCCAATAGAGGAACCAAGGTTCTTTGGAGGAATGGCTGATTCCAGGCCTGGGATTGAAAAGTACAAATAAGCCTGGAATATCTTATCATAACAGATAGCTCAGAATATATCAACGGCTATCAGGGTCATAACAAAAAGTACCAGGAGCCAACATCAGTAAGGAAAATAATAGCAATGAATTCAAACTCATCAAGTATGTTTTAAATCAATGAGTTCAAAATTATTCTAAAAGAAGGAAAATCTTATTTGTCATGTTCAGAGGATACTAGAGAGCCAACTCTTTGCTTTGAAAACTGATAAATATAGGAAAATAATTAAGCATTTATCCTTACTTTTTAATAATAACTGTACCACAGGAAAACTAAATAATTGATGAGAGGACATTACTTAGTATGGAACTATTTTAGTTAATAAAA